TGTGCCTTCAGGATTACTCCTGGTGCTGCTCAAGGGATCATATGGGATGCTAGGGACCAAGCTTGGGTTGGCCCCATGCAACGTAAACGCCTTACTTGTGGTACTATAGCTCCAGCCTCCTGATGATGCTTTTCTATGAGAAAGGTGTTAACTATTAACAGCAAAAAAAAAAAAATCCTTCACGATTATTAGTTAGATTCTCAAGTTTCTTTGGATTGTTATTTAATTTTAGAGAATGTGTGCACTCCTTAGCTCACTCCTATAACTATTGCTTCCATATTTCATGCCTTTATCTTAATCCGTTTCTTGTCTCTCTCTTTCAAGAACCCCTGTGATTACAATGGGACTTCCTGTATAATCCATGAAATCGCCCCAGTTTTAAGATTATTTAACTTAATCATATCATCATCTGTCATTTTGTGTAAGGCAAGTGGCAAGTGTGTGTGTGTGCCTTGCACTGATCATAGACTCATTGTAATCCTGCTTAGTGCTAGGTGTTATGTTGCCTGAGGCAGAATTTGAACCAGGTGACTGGAATTCTGGTCGCGTTTTACTCCTCAGATGTTGGGGAATTCTCTTTTGTAGAGAAATAGGATAAAGTTGGCTCTGTTCCAAAGCTTTTTTTCCTACAAGCATTCAAACAGTCATGGGTTCGGGTGTTTAAGGCCCCACTGTTTTGCCGAAAACAAAGAATTAATTCCCATCTTAGGCTCCCAAACATGCCTTCAGGCACATAGCCTCTTTTAGGCCAAAGGGCTAACCTTAGTGTGCGTAGTGGGAGTGTGTAGTGGGAGAAAAGCCTATGCACTTTTCAAAGCCTTACACCTGCACTGTGGTGATTACTGTGCTTACAAAGAACTTTCTAGGTTCAAGTCACACCATCTGAGCTAGGTGCTATTGTTATCACAGATTACATGTGAAGAAACTGATCCTTGAAGAAATGAAAGGAGTTATCTAAGGTCAACCAAATAGAAAGGAATGGCAAAGGTTGATATAGAATTAAATTATTGGGGCTGGGGTGATACTGAAGTGTGTAGGGTGCTTGCCTTGCAAGGGGCTAACTCAGGTTAACCCATGGCACTTCTGATGGTCCCCAGAGCACCACCAGGGATGAACCATGAGTGCAGAGCCGGTAGAAAGTGCTGAACACTACCGGGTATGGCCCAACCTTACCCTTCCTGAAAATAATCTAGTTGTCACTCTTTCTCCAATGAATTATTTGCTATCAACATAGCAGAAGCTTGGTGATGATAAGGTGAATGTCAGTATGCTAAATATATGCATGTCCAGGATCTGGAGAGATAATTGAGCGGGAAGCAGACTTACTTACTTCTTGGGTTTTATCCCTGGCATCCATCTCCAAGACTCCTGCAGGTGATCCCTGAGCACAGAGACATAAGTTAGTCCTGTGTACCGTCAGGTGTGATCTCAAACCAAAACCAGAATAAAACAAATGTAAACATATCCTAATCCCTGGAACCTGTCATTATGTTGGCAAAAGGAACTTTGCAGATGTGATTAAGATTCTTGTGATGGGAAGAGTTGCCTGGACTTTCCAGGTGGGCTCAATGTTGTTATTACAGAGATAATTATAAGAGAAACAGGAGATTAGAGTGAGTTGTTTGGTTGTTTGAAGGGATGTGTCAGTGGAAGCAAGGGGTTGAAGAGATGCAAGGAAGGAATTATCAGCCAAGCACTGCACAGTGTTTCTGGAAGCCAGTAAAGGCAAGATGACAATTTCTTCCCTGAAGCCTTTAGGAGGAACTAGACCAACAGACACTGAAACTGTAAAACTAAAGAGACCGATCTGACAAGGCTCTAAAGGGACATGGCTACACAACCTTGATAAATTTGGTTAGACAAAAATAACTTTTACATTCTTGGCTTGAAGCAGCTCTTTTCCAGATTTTAAAAATATATTACAATCATTTTGTAGAGAACGAATATGCAGAAACTCACTCAGACCATCCTTTGTTTTTCTTCATTTTATCTTTGAACCAGCCAGAGGATTTTAAGAGCTGCTACAAATTATTATGATTTGGAGAGAATAGAACAAAACATATTTTACACTGTTATTCAGGAAGGTAGATGACCTCAATCCCCCCACTGTTGTTTGTCCAGAAAACTGTAAGAAATAGAAAAAAACGGTGAAGCCTTTTTTCTATTAGTATAAAGATTACTTGAAACAAAAGGACAAGATGTAGATTTAAGCATTGCTCCAACCATTCTCAGGACTTCAGTAAAGCCTTTTCCCGTCTTGCTAAAGCTGCTAAGTAGTGTTGCTCTTTGCATTGGGCATTGGTCTTTCCACATTTTGATTCTATCCCAGCGAAACTGATTTCAGAATTCTGAGCTTGGAACCTGTACAATAATAAATTTGTGCTGTTCTAAGTCAAGAAATTTATGATAACTTGTTTTAGTAGCAATAGGAAAACAATAATGTGCTAAGGGGTTAATTAGAGGAAAACATAAAAAATGTTTCCTCATAATGCTGCTTGTTAGGGTTTACTTCCCTAGAGATATTCGCTTGAAATGCTTTGAGAGTTCCTACTAAACCAGGAAAGAAGATATTGCCAACCTTAGATGCCAAAATTGTTTGGCATCAAAATGAGTTGAAAGCCCAGTAGAGGGCAAGAACTTTCCAGAGCAGGAGCGGGGAGAAGATATCCTAAAATTTGCTCCTCTGTAGTCATATATACAGGAAAGGGCTCTAAAATCAAAGCTTTCTCGGCAATGCTGGTTGCTTTGGTTAGGTTGCAGTTTAGCTGCACTTCTTACTGGCTAGAGTTTCATGCTGAGAAGAATGATATTTTCACTTGATGCTTAAGGCTGAGGATCTTGCTGTTACTTATTGGTACAGTACACTGAGTCCTCTCCACCTCTGCAGAGGTAAACATCAGGTTAATTTGCACAGCTTGGGACAAAGATTGGTTGAGGAAAGAAAATATATATTCAGGGCTGGAAAAAGAGTCCTTGTCTGACCTGCATTTGAACCCCTGGCACCGTATATAGTCTCCCACAACCCTCCAGGAGTAATCCTTGAGTGCACTCAGGATTAACCTCTAAACACAGCCTGGTGTGTTCCACAACTTGTTCATCTTTACGGAAAATCTTTCTGAAAGGGTATTCTCCCGTGATGGAAATTTGGAAGGCTAAAGTACCTGAGAGAAGAATGGTATAGATTTATGGGACTCTCTTAACACAGGAGTCTAGGTGGATACTGAAAGGGACCCTAGAGGGAATGGATAGGAGTGGAGCTTAGCCAGAATTGAGGTTTCATGTTGAGGGCAGTGGGAGACAAGGCTGAAGTATAGGGCCTGCTGCAGATACGAGTGCCAGAGGAACTAGGAGTCATACAATAATGACTTGGAATAGGACTGTAACCAGATGCAATTCATTTTACAGATAATGCAATGGCATAATTAATAGAAACTGATAATTGGTTAAATATTTTTGAGTGACGAATAGGTAATGCATGTTTGTGAGTCTGGCCTATCAGGAGAAGGGTCAAAATACTGATGGCAAGAGGGAAAGCTGTCTGGGGGTGTGGTATGGTGGTGAGAAGTGGAGAGATGACTTGGCTGAACAAGTAGTTTGGCCTTTCCTTAAATGTCGGGATTGGATTCAGCTTCCTTATTGCCCACAGGAGAGAACTTTGTATAGAATAGGTACTAAATCCATATTATTGGGGGAGATCAATGATGGTTACAGGGTATGACATATACAAATTATCATTTCAGACTTTTAAGATAAGGCTATGTTCTGAATTCCCATGCTTTTTCTACTTGGACTTTCTGAAATCTAGGTGTTTTCTTATCTATATTTTCCTATCCATTGCAGACATCCATTGAAATGGCCTAGGCAAATCCAGGAGCCTTTCAGTTTTCCTGCCTTCAGAATGTATTTCTGCTAAACCCACCAACAGGTTCATAGCAGTTTTCTTTTGTTCTCTTCAACCTAATTTATGCTTAACTTTTTCTTCGTTTTTCCTCTGAACGTTATGACCATGGCCCTGGTTGTAAACCCAACTCTCATTTCTTAGTCACTCAAAGAAACCAGTGAGATAGTGCTGGATGCTAGTTAACAATTTTTCAGTGGTGACTTTAACCCTACAACTAAGCAACCTAAGATTCCTAGGAGCAGATAAAACCCATACGCAATCTGTCACTGTTTAGTTTGCATGGCCAAGATAATTTTATAAAGTTAATGAATAGCTGGGATGGGGTGGGTGAGAGGCAAAGATAGAATGAATTAAGAGAAACTGTATTTCGTGGGCAGCCTCTGTTTTGCTCCTTGGAAGGGCACTGAACCTCTTCAGGGTATGGTTTTCCTTATGACCCTCATTATCAAAGTGCCTTTGATAATATATTTACTTACTTGCTTGCTTGATTGATTGCTTTTTGGGCACACCCGGTGATGCTCAGGGGTTACTACTGGCTCTACACTCAGGAATTACTCCTGGCAGTGCTTGGGGGACCATATGAGATGCCAGGCATCGAACCCAGTCGGCCTTGTGCAAGCATCCTGCCCACTATATCGCTCCAGCCCCTCAAAGTACCTTCCGGAAGGACTTCATTTCTGCATCTCTGAGCAGGACCTTCACAAGACTCGGCCCTCATTTTTAGGACATTATGATTTGAGTTATGGACATAAATATATTCCAGTCGAATTCAAATACTCAATATGATTTAGATCACATATGCTTCCTTCTCTTCTACTCGTTGCTGGTTATTTCTAGAGTGAAATGTACCTAATTCACTGAGAACTGATGCTCAAATGCCTGTTTGCAAATTCTGATGAAATCAAACTGATCTCACAGGCTGAGTCAGAGTACCTTGAAAACTAACTTCTTTGAACCTCAGTTGCTGGAGGGCCAATATGTGTAAATTTCTTATTCCATAGTCTCTTATTACTTGTCATATTATCAGCTTAATAGAAATTACTATTAATACATGTAATTATAATTTTTATTTATGCTCCTCACTTGAGTAAGAGTCACCATGGAAAGAGATGGTAAAGGTAAAAGGTAAAGGCCCTCCAGTTGATCGTCGATTTGCTCAAGAGGGCCCAGTAACGTCTCCATTGGAGACTTTGTTGTTACTGTGTTTGGCATATCAAAGACTCTCGGTAGCTTGCCGGGCTCTCCGAGAGGGGCGGAGGAATTGAACTCGGGTCGGCCATGTTGGCCGCTTGTAAGGCGTATGCCCTACCGCTGTGCTATCACTTGAGTAGTAATTTTCCTATAAATCTGAGCATTTAATTCTGCATAGAGGGTCACACTAGTCAGTTGCCTATGAGATGGATTTGAGGGACAACAAAGAATTTTCCTTCTCAAATTTTCCTTTTCTACTGAAACTCCTGTTCTTTTTTTCTTTTAATCAGCCCTGGAGGGGGGTGGAGTGGTGGAGGCGGGGCACCTTCCAATCACAAATGTGCTATTATTGTCTGTGAGTTTCTATTAGTTTTCTCTGTTAAGTTTCTTTTTTTTTAAGGACCATATTATAAGCAATGTATTTGCAATTTTTTCCCTCTTGTCCTTTGGGACCTCACAACTATCAGGCAAACACTCTACTACTGAGTTAGCACCCTCAGCCTAGAAAATGGCTTTATTTGGTGGATCACATTTGTCAGTACTCTGGGTCTATTCTGGGTTTGATGCAAGAGGAACATAACTGGTTCCAGGAAGAGAGACGCAAAACATACATTCAGGCTTGCATAGTTATTTTTCATAGGTTGTAGCATTTCATAGTTTGGTTGTACTATAATGCCCAGTATTGATTTTTCCAAAAGCTGCTATACAGGTAAACAAATTTTTTACATTTCTGAATGTTCCGTACCGGATTTTTGTGTGAGGACTTTCATTTCTTTAAAAAAATCAATGAATTAGTTTACAAGATTACAGAATTTCAGGGAGTATAGTTTAACAACTTTTTTGGCTGGAGCGATAGCACAGCGGTAGGGCATTTGCCTTACAAGCGGCCAACATGGCCGACCCGAGTTCGATTCCTCTGCACCTCTGGGAGAGCCCGGCAAGCTACCGAGAGTATCTCGCCCGTACGGCAGAGCCTGACAAGCCACCCGTGATGTATTCGATATGCCAAACACAGTAACAACAAAATCTCCAATGCAGATGTTACTGGGCCCGCTCGAGCAAATCGATGAACAACGGGATGGCCTCGAGGGCCTTCTTAAGAGAATAGAATCAAAGGCAGCCATCAATAAAAGGTCCAAGTGACAAGGGATGTTTTATTTATTTTTTATTGTTTTTTTAACTGTTTTTTGCTTTTTGGGTCACACCCTGCGATGCACAGGAGTCACTCTAGACTCATATACTCAGAAATTACTCCAGGCAGCACCCAGGGGGACCATATGTGATGCTGGGAATCGAACCCCGGGCGGTCGCCTGCAAAGCAAACCCTCTAGCCCTTGTGCTATCGCTCCAACCCTGACAAGGGATGTTTTAGATACGAGTCCATCTCAATATGTATCTGAGTGTCACCTAAACAGGGTTTTTAGTACTGGAAGTAAAGGATGGGATCAAAAGTGCCGAATCAGTCATCTTGTCCCAGCTTTCAATCAGCAAATACTAGTGGCGCACGTAATCAGCATCCCAGGCGTAAAGAATATGGTCGACGGCAACAGACGCATTTCGCACTTCAGGTTCACAGGCAGAAGGTAGGGACTAGGAGGGAAAAAAGTGTGGCAAAGTCAAAGTTGCCGTGAGACACGTCCCGGTTCTAGTGCGCATGCATTCCTCGCCTTATGTCCCGACGTGCCTAATCTCTTCCGGTTTGAATGATCTCTTCCGGGGCAGCTCTAGTCCAATGGGATTGCGCGCTGAAGCCGGGCGACCGTTAAACGGCTTTTTCCAGAGGTCGTTACATCCGCATCTTGGAGCGGAAACCTGTGGAAGATGAAGTAAGGCTCCAGTTGTCCTACTTAGAGTGTGGGAGGTCGGGGCTGGGGGATTGGGATGCGGGGCGGGAGGAGCTGAGGGTAGTGGCGGGGCGGGGGGCGAAGCGTCCGAGGGGGCGGGGGTCGCGAAGTCCGGACGGCGCCGAGACTCACTCTTCCAGGGGACCCCTAGTTGGGCGCTCTCGGTCGCCGGGCCGTTTCTTTACTCGCTGGCAACTTCCGCAGCCCGTTGACGAAATTGAAGTTAATCAACGACCTCAAGGAGCGAGGGGACCAGCTGGGGGTGGCGGAGAAGGTGTCCTGGCACACCGAGTACAAGGACAGCAGCTCCTGGATCTTCCTGGGTGAGTTGTGCCGCCGTGCGCCTCGGGTTCCCCGCCGCCTGGCTTTCGAGGGAGTGTTTCAGCCTTCCGCCTCTCTTCTGCCGTTATTTCACTCCTCTCCCTGGCTCTCGCGCTGCCCCCGCCCTCCCCCCCCCCACACACACAGTTTAGGTGACACCCAGCGATGTTCAGACGTCACTCGGGGCTCTGAATTCAGCAGTTACTTCAGACGATGCTCACCGAACCTATGGGATGGTCCAGGGATGGTGCCAGGGATTGAACCTGGGTCAGCCTCATGCAAGACGACTGCGCTACGTACTACACGAGCGCTCCAGCCCTGCCGGCATGTATTTCTGCTTCTTTTCTTGGGGGCCACACCTGGCAGTTCTCCTGGGTTTCTCCTGGCTCAATGCACCAGGATCACAACTGGCGGTGTCTGGGGAATATATGGTATGCCAGAGATGGGACCCCCGACATTGGCCACGGGCAGGGCAAGCGCCGTACCCACGGTACTATTTCTCCAGCACCCTTATTTCTGTTCTTTTTCCAGGTTTTTATTTTTCCCTCATTTCCTCCCCCCCACAATTACCTCTTTCTCTTCCCCCTCTCCATTTCCTTTGTCACCCCCTCTCCCCTCTTCTCCCCGACCCTTCATGTCCATTTTCCTTTCCCCTGTCCTCCTCTACGCCTCTCCTTATCTCCTTATTTTCCTCTCCCCCTCCCCTTGTCCTCTCCTTCCCCCTCCCCCGTGCTCTCCCCCTCTTCTTCTCACGGCCCCTGCTCTCGCCATTCCCTTTCCTCCTCTATTTTTTAATGTTGTACAGTTTTATTTATTTTTAATTTTTAATTTCGATAGCACAACGGGTAGGTTGTTTGCCTTGCAAGTGGCCAATATGGCCGACACGAGTTAGATTCCTCCACACCTGTCAGAGAGCCCAGCAAGCTACCCAGAGTATCTCGCTGGCTCGGCAAAGCCTGGCACGCTCCCCTTGACATTTTCAATATGCCAAACACAGTAACAACAAGTCTCACGATGGAGACGTTACTGGGCACACTAGAGCATATATCTATGAACAACGGTGGGAAAGTACACTTCAGTGCTTCTTTTTGGGTCACACCCGGCCTTGCACAGGGTTACTCCTGGCTTATGCACTCGGGAATTACTCCTGGGGCCATATACGATGCTGGGAATCGAACCCGGGTTGGCCACGTGCAAAGCAAACACCGTACTCGCTGTGCTATGCTCCAGTCCCTGTCCTCCCCTTACCCTTCTCATCCTCTTATAATCCTCTCCCTTGTTCCTTCTTCCTTTTCCCTTGTCCCTATCATCCTCTTTCCCTATCCTCTACCCCTTCTCTCCCCTCCTCTTCCCCTTCCCTTCACTGATTTACTCTCTCCCTAGCCTTCCCCATGCCTCTCTTCACTTCTGACTTATTCCCTCTCCCTTTACCCTTCCCTCTTCCTCTTTTTTGCCTTCCTCCGCCCCTCCCACCTCTCCCACTTTCACTTCCCCATGCCCTCCCTCTTTTCTTTTTTCTTACCTTCCTCTTCCCTTTCCACTTCTCCCTTTCCCCTTCTCTCTTCCACCACTTCTTGCTCTTTCCTTTCTCCTCCTCTACCCCTCACTCCTCTCTTCTTCCCCCTGCCCCTTTTCACTTTCCCCATCCTCTCATTGCTTTCTCTGGGACACATTCCTAGCTGCTTTGAAAAATCTCATAAGTCATACTAATAAACGCATTTATGGAGGTAGGACATGTTTGAATGAGGATTTACATTTGTGAAATGCTTAAAAGTTTTCTTTATAATCCTTAATCTGTGTGAGGTAGGGTTAATATTTATATATTCAAACTGATTTTGCGGGGCAAGGAGATAGCGGGTTAGGACCTTAGATTATTAAACTAGGTCTGATGTCCCACAGCACTAAAAGCACTGCTCAATGCTTCAAGAGGTATATCCTTGGTGGGCCCAGAGCACTGCCAGGTGGCACTGGAGGTTCCCCAATCTGCAGTGTCAGTGCAGCACCACATCCTTGAGCCCTTCCACTGAGTTGTCTGACCCAATATCCACAGAATGGTCCCTGGGTTCTGTTTGTAAGGCCGCCTTGAAAACATTTGATTTTGAAGGTAGCTATGGTGGATAATGAGCAGATAACTTAACAATTTTTTTTGTATTTTGGGCACAGTGGTGCTCAGTCTTACTCTCCAATTTGATGTGTGCTAGTACTGTGCCATTATTCTTTCATGTTGAGAAGTATTTAGTTTGAGGTCTAGAGAGGCCTTTTAAAACCAGTTCCTCTACTGTTTCTTTGATTTTTATCTTGAAATACTGCTTATATTTCATGTTCATGTATTTTAAACTTTCATTTTAAAACTAATACAGAAAAATTATAAAATGTAAGGAATGCCACTCTATCCCCTTAGCCAAGTCCCTGTCTATTACTATAGTATCTAATTGTTATTACTATTTTTACCTGTTTCACATTTTCTGATTTTACTAAATTATCTTAGAGTCCGTTGCAAGGCATGATTTGTGTGTTTGGACCATACCTGGCGATGCTCAGGGATTACTCCTGGCTGTGCACTCAGGAATTACTCGTGGCGGTGCTTGGGGTAGCACATGGGATGCTATGTGAACCCTAGTCACGAGGCAAGTGCCTTGTGCTGCCCTCCAGCCCAGTACCAAAATTCTTCAACTTGTTTTTTCAAAAGAATAATGCCATCAGGAAATCAACTGTCATACAGAAGTATTATCGAAACTTTCTGTTTTATTCAGTTTCACCTTCTGTCTCAAAAAACCCTTTGTTGTTTCTGGGCCTTACACCCAGTGGTGCTTAGGGGCTACTCCCAGTCCATTGCTCTGGGTCGTTCTCACTGGTGCTCAAGGGACCATATGGTGCTGGTGATCAACCCTGTGTTTCTAGAATGCAGTGCAGTGGTAACAGCCCTTTGAGTCGTCTCCCCAGCTTGCTGATAATCTCTTTAGTGTAGCAGAAAAATTGCTTTGTAGTCCTTGATCTGTCATGTAAATTATAAAAATCTCTTATTCTTTTTTATCTTGCCAGAAATTTCAGGGTTAAGTGCTTGTCTTGCATGTGGTTGATTCTGTTTTTTTTTTTTCTTAAATTTTTATTAGTGAAACACCATGAGGTACAGTTGTAGACTTACAAATTTTTGTGTTAGGGTTTCAGTTATACAATGATTGAATACCCATCCCTCCACCAGTTCACATTATCCACCACCAACAGTCCCAGTATCCCTACCACCCCCACCCCCCTATCCCACCCTACCTCTGTGCTAATCCCCAGCATCACAGATGGTCCCCTAGAGTGTCTAGAATGACCCCTGAGCATAGAGCTAGGAGTAACACCTGAGCACCACTGGGTATTTCTTTTTTCTTCCTTTTTGGGTCACACCCGGCAATGCACAGGGGTTTCTCCTGGATTTGCATTCAGGAGTTACACCTGGTGGTGCTCAGGGGACCATGTGGAATGCTGGGAATTGAACCCAGGTTGGCCACATGCAAGGCTAATGCCCTATCTGCTGTGCTATCACTCCAACCCCATTCCTAGTTATTCTTATGTTCATTTTCCCACAAGAATGTTGGAAACAACTTACTCTACTTCAGGGAAAAAAGGTGTGCATTTTAAAACTGGAATGAAGTTTATATATTAATTTTGAGAAGGATTTTTAGTGTTTTGATTATGTTTGCATATCCTAACCAACAACAAAGGATATTTTTCTGCCAATTTTATTTTTATAAAATTGTTCAGAAGAATTTATTACATTCAGTATTCCATCACCAATTCCACCACCATTACACCTTCTCACCCCCATTATTTCGGATTGTCTGACCACAACTTAAGCCTGCCCTCAAACCAAGTACTAGATAATACATTTTGTATTGCTTGTTATGAATAATGCATTAAAATGATCCAAAAATGTTTTCTTACTTGTATATGTGTGAAGATTTTTGTATCTCACCTTAGAGCCATTAAGCCCAACAAGGGATATTTTTATATTTTTATATTTACTTAAATCTATGTTTCTTTGAGGAGTTATAAAAAGTATTACTGAAAGTACCATTTATACTTTATTTTTCTTTTGGTATGATACCTGATGTTGCTCATGGCTTATTCCTGGCTCTGTTATCAGTGTCCCCTAGTGTCAGGGCCCAGGGCCCATATGTCATACCAAGGATTAGGCCAAGTCTGTCACATTTAAGGCAAGCGCTTTGACCCTGTTCTGTATCTCCAGCCCTGTTCAAGTCCATTTTCATTATTTATTTATTTATATTTTTTTGTTTTGGCCATATTCTGCGTACTCCGGGTTTATTCCTGACTCTGCATTCAGGAATTAGACCTGACAGTGCTTGGGGGACCTCATAGAGAGAATAGAACCCAGGTGGGATATGTGTAAGGCATGTGCCCTACCCACTGTACTCTTTCTCCAATCCCTCAAGTTTATGTATTTATTTATTTTTGTTTTTGGTCCATACACGGCAGTGCTCAGGTGTTACTCCTGGCTCTGCCCTCAGAAATTTTTCCTGGCGGTGCTTAGGGGACCATTTGGGATATCGTGGATCGAATTTGTGTCTGACACTTGTAAGGCAAGTACCTTCCCCACTGTACTATTGTTCTGGCCCCTGAAGATTTTTTTAAATTTTATTTTTCTTGCTAATTATAAATGTGGTTCCTTCTCCATTATATATTTCTAACCAATCACTGTTTGAATTCAAGAAAGTTGTTTATCCCAAGCACAAAAATTTATAAGTCTATAACTGTACCTCATGGTGTTTCACTAATAAAAAAAATATAAAAAAAGAAAGTGGTTTATTTGTAACTATATCCCAGTTTTAAGAAAAAAATTTAATTAGGCATTGTGATTTTAAGTAAATTTTGGACTCTTAATTAGGAGTATTTTGGGTTTTCTATAGTACAATCACATCTAGTCTTCAAACGGATACGGTTTCACCTTTTATTTCTGATTTATATGTTTTCTCCTAATTGCATTGGCAGATAACAGTACACTGTAACACTGTCCTCCCGTTGTGCATCGTTTTGCTCCAGCGGGCACCAGTAACGTCTCCATCGTGGGACTTATTGTGACTGTTTTTGCCATAACAAATAAGCCACGAGGAGCTTGCCAGGATCTGCTTTGCGGACGGGATACTCTTGGTAGCTTGCCAGGCTCTCCAAGAGAGATCGAGGAATCAAACCCGGGTCGGCTATATGCAAGGCAGATGCTCTACCCGCTGTGCTATAGCTTCATCAATTAAGTAGGTAAATGTTCTTGGCAACACTTGAGCTATTTTTTGTACTTTTTATTAAAGATTCTAGGTTTTGGCAGAAATATGTGTCTATGATTATGTTTATAATGTATTCATCAATTTTTTTTTGTATTTGGCCCTAGCCACTGATGCTTGGGAACTTTTTCCAGCTTGGTGCAGGGGGAGTACTTCTGGTGGTACCTGGGGAAGCATTTGGTACCAGGAATTGAGCCTAGGTGTCCCACCTGCAAAGCATATACTGAACACACCACTTAGTTTTCTGCTTGCTGTTTTCTTTTTCTGACTCTATTAAAAATATTAGGTTTTTGTTTTTGTGCCTCACCTGGCAATACTCATGGGTTTGGGCTCAGGAATCATACTTTGTGGTGCGTGAAGAATGTATGAGATGCCGGGGATTGACCCTGGGCCGGCCGTGTGCAAGGAAAGTACCTTACTAGCTATACCGTTGTCCCAGTGACACCGAGCTCTGCTCAGGGATTACTCCTGGCTTTGTGCTCTGGGATCTCTCCTGGGAGTGATTGAGTATGTTAATTTAGGTGGGAGGCATGGATTTTGAATCTTAATTATTATCTGTATATTTAAACCTTTTACCTTTTTAATTGAATCACTGTGAGATAGACCCTTAAAAAGCTGTTTGAGATTAAGTTTCAGTTGGTGTTCCAACACCCATCTCTCTACCAGTGTATATTTCCCAGCACCGGTGTCCCCAGTTTCCCCTCCCATCACCCTTCACCCCCCACTCCCCAGCCTTCATCTATGGCAGGCACTTTTCTTGTCTTCACTCACTGTTTAAATGGGACATTTCTCATGAACTTTTTTGTCTTATTTAGGGATGCTACACCAGTGGTGCTCAGGGATCACTCCTGGTGGGGCTCAAGGAATGATATGGGGTGCTAGGGATTGAACCCGGTTGACTGCATGCAAGGCAAGAGCTCTACCCACTGTCGTGCTTTAGCTCCCTCCCTATAAGTTTTTATAGTTAACCTTCATTTGTCATCTGGTTCTAGCTTTGTCTTTATAGTCAATATTTAAGTTTTGTTTGTCGTCCATTCTGAACATTTTTCTTCAAATAGTGTCTTTTTATGTTAAATAGATATGGTGAGATTGTTAACATAAGTCTGGTACACAATAAGAAGACTGGGAAATCCAAGGGATTCTGTTTCCTTTGCTATGAAGACCACCGGAGCACAATTCTGGCTGTTGACAATTTTAATGGCATCAAGGTGAGTAAAAGTATGAAGCAGGATTTGGCGGAATGTTTCTGATGGAATGGTTTGGTTTTATTTTTCCCCTGATTCAGAGAGGCCCAGGGGCCACCAGGATGAGACTATAAGAGTTTCAGGGGTGTGGGTAAATTGTTCTAGGAAGCAATTACATGGGCCTGTGCCCCAGTCAGCATTTCTTTCTTCCTCAGTATTAGCTATTCCCCCACCCACCCAGGGAAGCCTTTGTTTCTTACCTTTCTCTCCTCACCACTGTATTTCTCCAGCCCAGGAGAGTGACTCTTAGAGAATTTGTCACTGATTGCACCAGTAATAAGTAGTTACGAGGACAGCATGGAATGGGGTTATAGGTTTTCATTTTATGGATCCTATATTCAAAGTCAGTCAAAGAAGGGATGGTTTTCAAAACATGTTTTCCCTCTTTGGGTCATACACAGCGATGCTCAGGGTTACTCCTGGCTCTGCACTCAGGGAATACTCCTGGCCTTGCTGGGGGAACCATATGGGATGCTGTGGATCGAACCTGTGTCGGCCACGTGCAAGGCAAATGCCTTACCCTCTGTGCTATCACTCTGGACCCTCAAAAATGTCTTCATTTATTTATTTATTTATTTAATTTGTGTTTTGGGTGACACCTGGGGATGCACAATGACTCCTGCTTCTGCAGTCAGGAATTACTACTTGCCTTGCTGGAGGGACAATATGGGATGCTGGGAATTGAACCGTGATTCGCCGTGTGCAAGGCAAATGCCCTATCCTCTGTGCTATCTCTCCAGGTCCTCAAAAATGTTTTTCAATGGGAAATGTGATAGATGATAAAAGGTAGATTAGACTGAAAGTAAAACTAAAATCAGACCTTGTATTGGAACAATAAAAGCTAGACTTTGGGAATGTTGAGTGCCTAATGAATATAGAATTGAGTATGTATTAGAGAGTGAAGTGATCCTACCGTGGATAGGGCTCAGACCTTACCAGGCTGACCAGGGTTATGACCTGGACAGCCCATATGATCTGAGCACATTCAGTAGTGGTTCAACATCCCCCACCATCAAAAAAGAATTTTTAAGTATATGCTTGAAAAAAGAAATGGCTTTGTTTGATGTGAGTTTTTAATATTCTGTTGTTTGCCCAGAGTTTGTGTTTCACAGCAAAAGTATCAGTGTGAGCTAGTTACAAAAATTCCCAGAGTTTTTTTTATATCATGCCATCAATAGAGCACAAAACTATTTGTATGGCACACAGGGGTAAACTGACCGAAGATGCTAGTGCACTTGCCTCAGGGGCGCAGTAGCCCTCAGTCCTGTGGTTGCCCTGAGAGCAGAGAAAATTGCTGGCTGGGAAATGTGCTCAAACACACCTGTTGGGCAAACAGTTTTGGAGATTTCCCCAGATATAGAATTAGCACGAAGTTTGTGTGGGTCACTTCGTTTCATAGAAGGGCTATCTTTGCTGATGCGTTGTCTTTCTGTCTGAGATCAAAGGACGGACTATTCGAATGGATCATGTGTCTAACTATAGGGCTCCTAAGGACTCAGATGAATTGGATGATGTGACCATATTACTTCAGGAGAAGGGTTGTGGGGCACACAAGCCTCCAAAATTTTCAGATGAGGACTCTGAGGATGACAAGCCCACAAAAAACGCAAAAAAGGTAAAGTGTTATGACCAAAACTGATTCCAGGTGGTCTTAACTTTTTTGATGGATAAAGCTGTTTATTTAACGGTAGAAAGGTAAGTTTATTTTCTAATAGAAAGAAAATGTTCATATAACCAAAACTCTTAAGAAATAGTGACTTAGTAAACTTAAGTTTATATCAAGATACAAATATAGATACTGATTATTTTTCTTTTTTCTCCTACCTGGCGATACACAGGGGTTACTCCTCGCTCTGCACTCAGGAATTACACATGGTGGTACTCAGGGGACCATATGGGATGCTGGGTATCGAACCCGACCCGGGAGTGTGCAAGGCAAATGCCCTACCTGCTTCGTTATTGCTCCACCCCAATACTCTTTATTTCATCCGACTTCCCTAGAGAAAAGTAAATTTAAGGAATATCTGATGGGCATACACACTTTCTAGAAAATCTTCTAAGACATTTTCAAAGCTCATGATTTTTATATTAGAGGATGACAATTACGATACTTTGACTCTTCATCTTATAAACTTTGCTTTTTTTGCAGTCTTGCCATGAATATTAATATACTATTAAAATTCAAATAATTAAACTGGATGATAATAGTACAGCGAGTGGGTAGCATGTTTGATTTATACACAGCCAACCCGGGTTTGAACTCTTGCATACTGTATGGTCCTCCAAGCATCACCACCCCAACTTCAAGTTAGTTTTGGGGGGTGGGAGTCACACCTGATGGTGCTTTGGCTTACTCCTGGTTCTGCATTTGATCTAGTGTATTTAGAAAATAGGAACTTTTGTGGGAGAGTTGTATATTTTTTCATTTCCTATTTGTTGCTTTCATCCATTTTTTTATCTCCAGACAAAAAGGAAAAAAAGTAAATGAAGAAAAGCGGGAGGTACAGCACGATGCACCAGTCTCCTCTTCATCACCCAGAAGCAAGATGCTACAGGAAAACAATTCCCCCGACTGTAAAAAGTTCAACAACAAGAACTCAAAAAAGGTTCAGAAGTCAGAATTCAGGGAGGGGCTGAAGCAGTACCACACCTCCCTTGAGGTCAGGACAGCCTACCACTCCTGAACAGAGGCCGGAGCAGAGACAGGGAGCCAAAGAAGAAGAAGCCCAAACAGGAACACAGGTCCTTAAGTAGGAGGGAGGAAAGGGAAGAAAAGAACAGGGATAGCGACAGAGATCAAAGGTCAGATACCCACATTGGCTGGCAGGCACAAGGAGCATTCTAAATGGCATGGTCCTAAGAGTAGGAGTAGGAGCAATGGTATATCCCACAGGTATCAAATCCTGGCACTCCCGGAACTGGGGATCTCCCAATTCCAGAGATTACAGGCATCACTAAGACTGCAGCCGATTGAGTTGCTTGGTAGAATTGCACATGAAATGGTGTGTTCTTGTGTGTGTGTATGTTTGTGTGTGTATGTTGGGTCCCACCAGGATTTACTCATGACTTACTCCTATCTCTGTGCGTACGGGTCAATCCTGGCAGGGCTCAGGACTATATGAGGTTCTGGGGACAGAACATAGGACAGCTGCCTGGAAAAGAATCACCCTGTCCACCGAAGTGTCTGTCTGGCCCCAGATTTGAACTATTATAAGAAGCATTTTTTAAAAATGAAAACCAATTATATCTCACTTTTAATATGTAAAATCTTTTGGAGGTCAATGATTTTATTCCCGTGTACATTAATCCTTGAGGGATATATACTCTCTAAAGTCTGATGCCCTTACTTCTTTTGGGCGCGGGTGGTCAGGTAAACCTGGCGATTCTTCTGGATTCCTCCTGGCTCTGCACTCAGTTATTACTATCGGCAGTGCTTGGAAGACCATATTGGATGCCAAGGAGATTGAACGCAGGTTAGCTATGTGCAGTTCACACGCCTGACCTGCTTTTTCATCTCTCCATTGCCTCATGTTCTTAATTTTTAAGCGCAGTTTATTATCCTTGGGAATATATTTGATACCAATCAGATTACATGTGGTAAATTGGTTCATATATAGATCCAAGAACTTAACCCCCCCAAGAACGATGAGAAATATTTAAGAAATAGGAAAACATTAGTTCTTGAATTTTCATCTGTGTTGGATGACTTTCCATTTGGCAGATAAAACCGATAGAGATGTGTGACTTAATTCGGTTTAAGTAGCGTGACATAGATACAGTAATGAAGCTGTTAGTCTGTTCTGTTTATTTTGAGATGTGTCTTTTCCTGAACCATTTTTTTGGTTGATACTTTTCCACATATGTTCCTTGGCATTTATTTTTATCGAGAAATTGACACAACAAAATTCACCTCATACAGAAATGTACTTTTTCAAAATTGCCTTAAAATTGTTTTGAAGTATTGTGAAGGTTCTGCTGTTCACTTCAGACCTTTATATGTGTATAATTGTCACAACATCCACCACCAAGCTTTGGTTGCTATCCCACCACCAAAAAGACCATGCTGGTTCCTTGCTCTACCAACTCCATCTCTCTGAGAGTCACCATTGTATTCCTTCGGTCTAGCAAGTTTGTTATTTTCTTTCACTTTTAATTTTTTTGGTGAAGCAGGAGAGTTACTATAATTGGTTTTTTTTTGGCGGGGGGAGTGGGGTCAGACCCGGTAGAAGATCAGGGGTTGCTGCTAGCTCTACCCTCAGTAATTACTCGTAGCTGTACTTGGGGGACCACATGGGATGCTGGGGATAGAATGCGGGTTGGCTCTGTGTAGGCACATGCTCTCCTCACTGTACTATTGTCCAAGCCCTTAAGCAAATTAGTTTGAAAACTTGAAAAGCTGTGACGGTAGAGAAAGGAAGAAATGTGTGTTCGGGAGAGAGCACTGGATACTCCAGAGTAGAAAAAGGTAAATCAAGAACATAGAGGCAAGTGATATGCATGTTTAAGTGAGTACATGGACTTAAAGAGCAAGCCCATTTTGTTAGTTCTTTGGGGTGTACTTTCTTAAGTAATGCATGCTCCAAATGAGTAAATAGTGATGATTGTCTTTCACTTCCAGACTTAGCTCATGGTCTATTTCAGTTTGTCCAGAATAACATTTCATCTTTAAAAGTGGCAGAATAGTGTTCTAGAGTCAGTATGCCCTTGCTTCTTTAGCCAGTCATATGTGGATGGGCATTTAGGTGAATTCCTATGTTTCACCTATCACGAATCTGCTATGATCAAATCGGGTTATAAATGTCTCTAGATGGGTATTTTTCATGTCAGATAAATGCCCAGAAACTTTTTTTTTCAGGAGTAGTTTTGTTGTGTCACAGTCTTTCCTTTTCTTGTATTTTAGGCCATATCTTGCTCTGCTCAGGGCTTACTTCTGGCTTTGTACACAGGAATCAATCCTGACAGGTTTCGGAGAAAATATGCTTTGCTGGGGACCAAATAAGGGTCGCCTGCATGCAAGGCACACACCTTACTTAAATACTCTGTCAATCCTTGAGAATTAACCATTTTGTCATAGACTCACAGACTCTGACTCTGAGGGTTGATATCTGTGCTCTGAATTCAGGATTCCATGTATCTGAAAGTTCCATCATTCCTTTAAGTTTGTAAGTTTATTTAAACACTTATTTACAAAGTAGCCTGTCCCAACACTGAGAAAGCCTGTAGATTTTAGTCACAAAGACCTGCAGACCTGAACTTTCAGCAGGTTAATTTCTGGGTGAGTCCTGTTCTGAGATAGTGGAGACTGACCAGATGCATGACTGCGATTTTGCAGTTGGGGAGTGACCAGCAGCCGGGGCTCTGTTTGGGCGGGCCCTGGGCTGGCCCCTGAGGTCTCAGCCATGCATGGGTGATAGAAGGAGTTTTGGCAGCTGTTTGTTCTCTTTCAAGATTTTGAGTCATTGAAGCAAGAGTGATAGAAGAGCCTTCGCGGTATGGTGGGTGATTCGTGGGTATGACTGCAGAGCTTCCAGAAGTACAGGGAGGTAAGGGGAGGTAGCCCATTCCAAGTCAAGTTATCAGTCACAAAAAATTGCATACTTGAATTTTCAGCAAGTTAATTTCTCAGTACAGGTCAATCCTGAAACAACGGGTTCCACCCAGAGAGAAGGCAGTGTGGGCTGGCTTTCCCACCGTGTAGAAAGTTTTCTTGCATTCACAGGGTTTCTCTCCTTTGTGAATCTTCTCAAGTTCAGTGAGGTTTCATTTCAATGGATAATCTTTGCCTACATTTCATGCTCTAAGGGTCTGTCTCCTTTGTAAGGTATGTTGTGTATCGGATGAACTTATTTGTTGTAAAAAGTTTTCATCCACACTTTACATTCATATCGTTTCTCTCTTGCACGAATTATGTTGAGTGAGGTACAATTCTATCAAAAAGGTTTTCTTACATTCTTTGCAATAAACAGTGTTTTTCACGTGTATGAATTCTATATTGTTTAATGAGATACGATTATAATGAGAACGTTTTCCTGTTTACTTTCCATTCACAGGTTTTCTCTCCATGAATTTCACTCCTATTCAGTGAGGTATGATTTTTTTTTTTGCTACTTGAGTCACACCTGGCGATGCACAGGGGTTACTCCTGGCTCTGCACTCAGGAATTACCCCTGGCGGTGCTCGGGAGACCATATGGAATGCTGGGAATGCCTTATCTGTTGTGCTATCGCTCCAACCCAATGCGAGGTATGATTTAAAAGGAAAGTTTTCGTACATGCGTAGGGTCTCCTCTCATGGTTAGTGAGGTTTGATTTCAATGAGAATGTTTCCCTACATTTACAGGGTTTCTCTCGTGTGGATCCTGTTATGTTCAATCAGTAATGACTTAATGGAGAAAGATTTCTTCCTGCATTCACTGCATTGGTAGGGTTTATCACATGTGAATTCTTATGTTTAATCAGACATGACTTACAAGAGAAAGATCTTGAGCATTCAGTACATGAATTAGGTTTCTCTCTTGTTTGAGTTCTCATGTTGAATGAGAGAGGATTTCACTGTGAATGTTTTCCTACATTGTATATGTACATAGGGTTTCTCTCCTGTGTGAAATCTTTCATGTTGAATTAGATCTGGCTTCCTTGAGAAAGTTTTTCTACATTGTTTTTATTTGTGTTTCTCTCCTGAGAGACTCTGTTTTGAGTTATCTCTCATCCATGGCTCTACTCCTTGTTTTATTTTTATTTTTTCATGGCTGTACTCTTTCTTCAACTTGATGATTGCTTCAGGTGTGATGACAGAATGTCCCAATGATTCCAGGTCCTGTAGTTTTCCAGTGTCACCTCACTGAACTGGGTCCTCTGTTCATCAGCCAGGAACTGCCATTCTTTCCACGTGAAGTTCACACGCTCCTCCTCAAACAGCACTGTCCCCAGAGGTGATTTCATTGGGAAAGCACTAGCATCAGAGGACATGAGTATGTATGGGATGGAGGGTTCCTGAGGTACAGAAGGAATGGTCTTGTGTTTTAGTTGTTTTGTTTTGTTTTGTTTTGGGACCACACCTAGCGATGCTCATTCATTATTCCTGGGTCTAAACTCAGGACTTAATCCTGGAAGAACTTGAGGAACCATATTAGATGCTGTGGATTGAAGGTGGATTCAAGAAGTAAAAGACAAATGTCCTACTCACTATTTAGTGCTCTTGCCCAATGTTCTGGTAGTTCTAAGAAAAATCATAAGCCAATTCTTGTCCACAGTCTGAAATCATATTTTGGGTGGTCTTGCCATTCCTGGATGCAAAATGCTTCCTGGGTTCCACAATATTCATTTCCTATTTGAGCATTCCAAAATCTTTGTTCCTGCCATCCAACCAGTCAGTTTGATGTTGCAGGGGCAAACCTGGGAGTCTTTTGTGTTGGGTCCTGCTTTTCCCATGGACAGGATGCCAGGATTGTTGTGGTCCTAGATGAAATTCTCCTTATTCCGCATCTCCTTAATTTTTTACCTTTTAAAAAAAAACATTTAATTGTAGCCTTTGTCTATCCAGTGCTTTGTGATGTGCCCTCCTATGGTCTCACGCCTATCCCTGCATACATGACAGGAGAATGCAGGAGTCTGGCCACCAAGTGAGAGTTCATCATCAACAGGCACAGTTATAGGGGCCAATGGCGGCTTGGCCCCCATGAGGGAGACTCCGTGAACCCAGTCTTTCTGAGGTAGCAAGGAAGCTTTTTCAGTGATGTTGATGGCTTTTTAATTATTTATCTTCACATCTGGATGGCAATGGCAAATGGTGTGTATAGTTTT